CTGTGTTTTATTTTTCCCTCGTCTGAATATCTTGTGCCGATCGTTCATGAACCCTTTTGATAAAGAATTTCATAATACAGACATTTAATACCATATTAAAACTGTTAGACCATAAATGATGATTGACTTGAACATGTTCTGTTAAAAATGTAAAACTGGTTTTAACTTTGAAACCACATAAAGTTTTTATATTTTCACCACTGCAGGTTGAGAGGCGTAATGTGTGACAAAGTTTCTAATGATCACTTGCATTTTTTTTAACAGTGACATAAGGAATCAGTGAATTTATCAAATAATTGATTTTCTTTATCTGCTTGTTTCTGGGCAGGGTTGAGGGAAGATGGTATATATTGCCTTGGACAAGAAGCAGGGTATACCCTGAACATGTTGCCTGTCCATGACAGGCAAACATTTATGGTCTCACTCACACCTAGTGGCAATTTAGAGTCACAATAAACTTGGTCTTTGGAAAATTCCTATGAATGAACAGGAAGAACATGCAAATTTCAAACAAAAAAGGCCCCAGCCAGGAGTTGAACCTGCAACCTTCTGGCGATAGGTTACAAGTAACCAACTGTACCACCATGCAGCTTCAGCAAATCTAAATATCATCTTTATTATTATTATTATTATTATTATTATTATTATTATTATTATTATTATTATGATGATGATGAACCTTTATTGAACCAGGCAAATCCCACTGAGATCACAGATCTCTTTTGCAAGCAAGGCCTGGGCCTGAAGGCAGCCTAACATGCATGTTTTTGGTCATCTATGAGCTTGACTTACCAAACCCCAAACCCCAAAACTCCCACTCAAACTGTAGTGTTTCCCCTACAATTATTCAAGCAGGGAGTCCCGCGCTGTCAACAGAATCGGGCACCCTGTCTACCAAACTGTCCCCCCACCCCCAACAATTTCCAGCACTGACATAGCACTAAGCTGGTGGCGCGTAATACAGATGTGCTAGCTAAAATGCTCCAGAGGTAGCGCTTCATTTCCCTCTGACTCTCGTCCCCCCCCACCCCCCGAAAACTGTCGGTACAAACAGCATGCAACACAGATGCGTCTCTGTCTCCCCCAAGTCTACAAAAATCACTGAAGATATGAGCGCCCTGCCAAGGCAAGTAAACTAGAGGAGACACTGAACTGGAAACTGAAGCTAACTGCTCAGACCAACACTAAGGCTCAGGCTCTGACATTTGGATTTGGAAGCAAAAAGAAGAAACAGAGAAGTCAAAAGGGTGATAACAGCCACAGTGAAAGACTTTCCCAACATCCTGTAAAAGCAACTATGGAGCCATGCTCTGAACATCCATGCACGTTGAATTCTTAGGATGAAAGAAGAGAAACACAGAAGAGATCATTTATGAAGGGAGCATTTACATTTTCAGAGGTAAGTTAAGGCTTTATTTATATATGTATGTGTATGTATATATGTTTATATGTGTATGTGTGTGTTTGTGCATGTGTGTGTTTATGTACACATCTACTGACTGAAACTAATTGCCCCTCTGGGATAATAAAAATACTTGAACTTGAACTTATTCAACAGTGGCATTGTCAAAAACGTTTATTCTGCCATAATTGATGGTAATAGATTGATGTGGTTTGTGTTAGTAATGTTACCTGTGTTTGGCATTAGTATACATAGTCATGTAGATATTATTCTCAGAAGAAGAAAAAAAAGAGTAGGACTGTTGCCCCACTCTAGAAAATGGCCTCTGAGGTGTGGACCCAAACTGAGTCACTAGCACACTATGCCTCACACCAAACCACAATGCACAGCTTATTGTTACAGTAATAAAAGTCAAACCCACTCCTCACAACTTAGTGTGAAGACTCAGACTGCATAGTAAACCTGGAGTGGACAATGGTTATCTGATGCACCAGTAGCTACTTGGGCAGTACATGTGAAATTTCTATAGGATCTCCATAAAACAAAATATTAAACACATCAGAAAACAAATTGAACCATCACATCCTAAACACACCTTTCAAACAGGGTTAGGTGTAATTATTGTACTTTGATCTTTCCCCTGAATCAGTCCAATAACCAAAGCTGTTTCGAGCAGGTAGCCAAAGAAAAGATACAGGC